TAAACACCTAATGTTGATTGCTAGGGCACCTCGGCAGTTTTTCATTCTCATCCTTTCGAGGAGATGAAGGGTTATTCAGGAAGGGTGCTTGAGCGGAAGCGTTTTTTAGAGAGGGAGGAGGGCGTGATAAAAAGGGAGCTTAAATAGGTCTCAGTGTTACTTGAGGCAGGCTTGACTGGGTTTCAAGCGGTAACCTCCTCGACTCTTGAAGATGCTTCACAGGTGTTTGAACTACACCACTGAGAATCTTTTGGTTCTGCACTTGACTTCTCATTTCTGGAAAGTGTTTTCTATGTGAGTGGCACCATCCACCAGACGTGCACGGTGAGTTACTATTAATCAGCAGCAGCACCAGGATCCTCAGACGACAGCTACGTTGGGCAAAGCTGCCGTTGCACAATCCGGCACCTAGTGAAAGAGGCTGGTTGGCTTGGAAGCCGGAAGATCCAGTTTCATTTCTGACTCTGGCAAAATATTCACGTACGCCTGTGAGAACTGCCTTAAGCCTGGCAAGTCTTTGTTTTATACCCATGGAAAAACAGAAATTTTTTTTTTTTAAAAAAGCAAACTTTTGGGCTGGGTGTTATTGGTGACCATAGAGTACCTGGCAGAAAGGAGCCCTTGTCTTCCGTGGACTTCAGACTGTGCTTGTGGTTGCCCAGCACTGGTGCAAGGTGTCGGTGGCTATTTATGCAGTTCCTAATATTGAGAATAAAAGATGTGGGAAGTGGAAATTGTGAACAAACTGATATATTTAGAACCGCTCGTAGGAGTTACCAAGAAGCGTAAGTGCTTCTGGACATGTGTTTTCCGTACATTTTAGTAGACTTAATTTGAGTTCTCTGGAACAAGTTATAGACTAATTGTATCCTGTAGTTATTTTCAGCGTAGTTCTCTAAACCTGATCTCTGTTCCGCACCGTAAACACAGGCAGTGGTACGGGAGTGCAGTGAGACCATGCCTAAATGTTTGTTTTCCCTTGCACAGTCCTTTGCTTCTAAGAAACTGTATCTCACGTTTTCCGTAAGTGGGTGGGCTGTTGCAATGTCTGTCTTTTGGCAGAGCGAAATAAATGTTAACTTGGGCTAAATGCAGTAACTTTACTATAAAAAGATAATGGCGAAAGCAGTATATGCAGCCTACGCGGTGGTACCGTGTAGCTTCTTGGAAGCTGTGTGGTGGTTTTCCTAAAATTCAGTGATTGCATGGCCACTTCCATTGGTCCTCTTAAAAAAAAAAAAAAAAATTTAAAGAAAAATCACTTTTTCTTTAGGTTCTGTATCATCATAATCTTATAGTTTCAGGTCATTTGCCATCCTAGCCACCCCTTCCCACTTTAAAAAAAAAAGAGGCAAAATAAACAACAACAACGTTTTAGACATCTCCTGTTGATAATAACTTCCAAATGGCAATCGGTTGCAGCTGGTTCTTCACACTTTAACCCTTTGTCCGCTGGTCTTCCAGGAAATAATTGATGACTGATTGGCCCATTAACCTTTTTTTAAAAAAAAAAAAAAAAAAGTTTGACAGCCTGGACTTGCGTAATGAGGAGGGATTCCTAGTGAAATCAGGTTGATGGCTGAGTTGCTTGCCCCCAAGGATGCAAAATTAGCCCCGCGGGACCTTGTCTGCATAGAAACTGGACACAATTAGTGTAATATCCGGTGTTATTAATGTAGTTTGGAGTAATTGGGCAGGTTGATTTCGACAGGTTGATGGTGCTAAAATACTATTATAGTGGACCTTTCTATGAATAACTGTTAAACACGGAAAACTGTTTAATAAAATTTTGTGATTGGGCTCACAGGGATTTAAATAGCTCAACCTATAATTTTTCTGAAGAGTAAAACTGAGCAATTTCATTCTGCTGCCTGGATTTTCCTGTTCGTGTATGCGGTGATTAAGGACGTACACGTTCGCTACTCATCTTTCGTAGGCATTGCCCTGTGGGTAACATGGAGCAGGCGTGGATGGTTTGTCTCACAATAGTGCTTACCAAAAAAAAAAAAAGGTATGTTTAAGCAGAAAATGTATTACTGAACACATCTTCAACTGGCGCAGTTGCTTTTCGTCTGAGTTTTTTGGGGGGTAAAACCTGAAGCTTCGGTGGATATTTAGAGAGCGCAAACTTGAACGTTCTTAATGTATCATCAGCAATGACCAAGTTTTCAGCTAACTTACCGATGAACTGAAAGCATCCTTCCAGCCCAGCCTTAAAACACACTGCAGCCCTCGTAACCCGCGGCAGGGCCATACCGGGACAGGCTCACCGGCGGCTTACGTGGACTTTGCGATCCCGAGGCACAAAGGCTGTGCAAGGTCTTTGCAGCTTTTGTCCCAGTGTCAGCTGGTCACAGCAGAAAAAGGTCAGGAGATGAAACGCCGGAGCCTCTCCTTTGGGAAAAGGAGACTTGGTGTATAAAAGAGCAACCACGGGAAACGGCTGGAGGTGTTTCCTGAATTGCACTCCGGTCACCTGAATAGCCGGGTTTGTGTCCTCTGCCGTAGGTCTCCTGTAAGCAGGGGAATACTTTATGTAGCGGTTCTGGAAAACAAAGCTTGCAGAGGGACTGCTGCAAGGACGGTGTTTCGACCTCGCTTTTAACCGGTACGCTGGCTGCATTGCAGCGTTTATTTCTCATAAGCCTTTCTTGGGCAAACCAGCTTCACGTATGTGATAAGGATTAATGGCAAATAGGAGATAGGAGGGTTCAGTGACTCTGCATCTTGGTTGTATATATTTCTTTTAAGGTCTGGAATTGTAATGCTGGAAAGTCACCTAGTCCTTAAATGCTGGGGTGAACTGGGTCGGGATTAGTGCAGAGAGACTCACTAAAGATACACCGTACATACTCGTTGAGTATTAGTTGTACACCACGCGTACTGACTGAGTTGCGAGGCATTGAGAAGTCAGCCCTACCACGTGCGCTTGGAGAAGTCTACTCTCATTGTCTGCATCCCTACAGGGCCTCCTCCCTGCTGGAAAAGGTGCGGGGAATTTTTAACCCGAGCTGGCAAAATGACTCTTTTCTCTACTAGGCAGCTCCTTCAGCTTACACCAAGCTTGTGACTTACGTAGGAGTGGTATGGTCGGGGAGAGAGGTGCAGGGAAGATGGGCTGCAGCCCGGAGCAGAGCTGCATGAGATAGAGCGAGGCTGAAAATGGCCATGGTGTCACTGCGTATTGCAGCATCCCTGCCGTAACGACACGCGTGTCTCAGTACCACCCACGCTGAGTAATTGATATAGAAGGATTTTCTGAACGTTTAGTGACCAGCATTTGGAAATCCTCCTTTAGTAAGACTTCAGGAGTACAAAGTTTTATCACCTAGAAGCCTAAGAATGATGAATTTCCTAAATTGGACTCTTCCGGTGGCATTCGGTTTTTCACGTTCTCTTCCTTCACCATCGTTCCCTGTTTTCATCACCATACGCATAACTCTGCATATGCCTGTACCCTCCGCGCTGACCGTATGCCACACCACTTCTTTGTAAGGAGACCATAACTGGGTTGTCCTACAGCAGACGGCGCACGGGACCGAACATTATTTCTTTTATTGTCGAGTGGTTCCTCTTACATCTTCCTCTTAAACTCTTGAAAGCTCTGTTCGATAAATGTGGCTTTTCCCATTATTTAATCGTAGCAATTTGGGTAACAATTCTACCTGTTTGTTCTTAACACAGCGTTGCTAAAGTGAAAAGTAGTTATAGCTGTACGGTTGCATTGTTTCTCTTACCTTTCTTTTCCCACTTAGCCCACACGCTATTTTTTCCAGTAAAACTGCTGCCAAATGCAGCTCCTGCACCTGGAAATAACCTTTGCCTCCATGTTTATTCTCACCTCAAGGTGCAAAGTAACCTCCTGCTATTTTTGGAGGCTGCCTTAAAGCAGTGTGGGCACTGGCCTTGCTAGCACGGAGTTTGTCAGAGCAACCCAGTGGTCCCCCAGGTTGAGAAGGTGACTGCCGGTGAGCAGCAGCACTGTCTTGAAAGCCAGCGCTGGGTTTGTCACTTATCTTTGCAAGCTTATGGAAGACAAGGTAATGCAGGAGTTTCATGGCTCTGAATATATAATAAGTCATTAGCCGACAAGCGAATGTAAATGCTCTTTCTAAAGCCCATTATGGCTGACGTTCACCAGAACTTTGTGCTCTATTATTCTGTTCCTTTCATGCTTCATGCTTGCCCTTCCCAATTCCACTCGCTCGGTTTCAGCTTCCTCGTTTTGTTGGGGGTTTTTTGTAATTTGACTTTTGTGTCCCACGTGTAGTTGGAGTGTGTGTCCATTTAGTTCAGTTCTCTTTGTATTTTCATACGCTGCAGTCCTCTGGCCTGAATACTTGTCCTTATACTCTAGTAGCCCTGAGGATATTTCATTGACCCTTTCCTCTAGCTCCTCAGATCATTTTCTCATCTCCCGCGTTGAACGTGAATGTTCAATAGGTTGAACTGATTTTAATCCTGTTTTATAACCCAATGGATTTATGCTGTAGACAAGAAAATGTACACATCCACTTTTAATACACCTGTATGTGTAAACAAGTGCTTGAAGAAGAGGGTAAATTGTCAAATTTTCTGTATTGCCAGGTATGTATAGTCCATTCATCTTTTAAGTTATTTTGTGGCACTCTTCAGTTTTTACATTATGTAGCTCTTAGCACCACGGGTTTCAATCTAAATAATGCTTGTTAGCCACTTTGTGCTCCATCAAGGTACAGGCTCGATACCATCTCACAAATGCACCCGGGAACTGAATATTTACCCACAACAGTACTTTATCTACATAACATTTGGAGAGAAAAAGCAGTGTTGCAGGTCATTTCCTGATGCATCGTGCAACTGCAGGGTGGTTGGATATATCTAGCCTCAAACCTCAGATGTCCAGACCTGCCTTTGCTTTTTACATTGCAGAAACGCTCCTCAACCGAGATTGCTTAGGCCTCGCTATCGAAATCCTTAAACTTAAACTTTTCTTCCTATTGCATGTTTGTTTTTTTCAGAACAAGAAGAAAACTTTGAGTTTATCATTGTCTCACTCACCGGCCAGACTTGGCACTTTGAAGCTACCACATATGAAGAAAGAGACGCGTGGGTACAAGCCATAGAGAGTCAGATCTTGGCCAGTTTACAGTCATGTGAGAGCAGCAAGAACAAGGTACGGTACGCAGAGTAATACTGGCAATAATGAGTGGTTGGTTGAGCCTCAAAAGGAAAGCAGAATCAAGAGCTTTTGAGTTTTAAACCTGTACTCCTGGAGACGCATGGGTATTGGGCACGTGACAGAGCAGCGTTCGAGCTGCATGCGTATCTCAGATACTTCAAGACAACTGGTGCTGTAGCCTGTTTTACAGTTTATTTTTTACAGCAATTGAACTACTGGTGCTCCTGGATTATTTTTTTTGCCTTTGGTATTGCTCGATACAATTTTGACTGGAGCTTGGGGCTAGGTCACAGACTCTCCCTACTGAGAAGTTGTGTGGTGTAGTCACCGCTGCAGATTCGGGGTTGTTTCAGGTCAGAGGTCTGCAGAAGGCCCTTTAGGAATAGCCTGTCTTTGAGAAGAGTGGAGGCAGACCCCAGAACCAGCATATTTACTAGTTAAATGTGCTAAGCTCCTGCATGGCAATAATTGATGGAACGTTCTGGTGGGCCCAACCGTAAATGTGCAGTAATGTTCAGCAATAGGACTCTGCTGGGATGAAGTAATACAAATCACAGGAATGAAAAAAATAACCTATTGCTTTTGTGTCTGTTGCTTTACAAAGCCTATGCACAATTTTAATTACACTGAATTAATTTTTTTATGGTTTTGTGCCTTAACTAATATAACAGAAAGCATATCCCGAAACAGTTCATCAGAGCTTTTTGGGGGAAGATGAACATGGCCTACGAGGAACAGGCCTTCTACCTTGCAGTGCTTTCATATGATGACAGAAGGAATTTGTTCTCCTTTCCTGTCAAATAAAAAAAAAAAAAATGTTTAAAACCTGAGACTTCTTCAGCCATTGCTCATTTTTGGAAGGGCAGGAGAACTTTAGCTTCTTGAGTCTCTGTGTTTGCAAACACTTCATAACTGAGAGCAAGGTGTTGAGTGGTAGTGGAGTGGGAGAAGTGGGGAGTAATTATTCAGACGTATAGATCCTTTAACATTATCCACCCAACCACATGTCTTTAATGATTTTATATTGCAAGGATGAGGCTCACATTTTGAGATGAATGCCTGCGTTCATTGCCCCAATCTACCAGAGTAGATCAGACACCGGTAATTATCATCATCGTAATATGATTTACTTCCCATTTTGTTTAAAAAAAATATTTATTTCCAATATGTATTTCTGAGATAAAAATCACTGCTTACCCTTTTTTTTTCCTTTAATGGGTTTACGCCTTTGACTACGTATGTTAAGGGAGCACAACAGAGGAAATTTGTACGCCAACACCTGTACAAAAATACTAATACGAAAGAGGATAAAGAGTGGCTGGTAATATTTACTATGCAGTACCCACAGAGAAGATTGGCCTTTGTGCATATTAAATATTCTTTGGAAAGGGAGAACGCATTGATAAGATCATGAGTGTACAGGGAGTTTTGTGGGTTATATATTCATCCCGCTACAATGCTTAGAGAGGTGGGGGTTTTTGTCTGAAGTATTGCTGAGGTCTCAAAACATGTCAGAAGATCTACCTGGAATAGCAATGTGTGGTTAGTTGCACAGGTTTAGTAGGTGTCCTGTTGATAGGTCAGGAGGACATAGCTCCACCTGGCCATAGTTAAGACCTGGTCCTCATCCTGCTTAAAGCAATTCGTTGCAAAGAGTCCATCACTTGCTACAGCTAACAAATGTCTTCTCAGAAAGAGACGGTTTTGTTGGGTAGGGCTGAGCTACTTGTGCATCGTGACAGTCTCTCCAGCTCCAAGTAGAGGTCATTGGCAGGTCATCATGGAGAGAATTTAAATGGGAGCTGTCTGATTAAATCTGACCTTTTGATGATAAAAAGGTTTCGGTTGCTTTTGCAAACCATCCCTTAGTCTTCATTAGCAAAAGCATAAACATCAATAAAAGAAATTGATTTTATAAAATGATATTCTTATCTAATTTATCTCAAGAAGTAAACCTCCACTGTGACCGCTTTACTTGTGAATAGCAGGGTTCATTTTGAAGCTTGGTTTTCTTCTGCGCAGTCTCTCCACTTGTTAGAATCCAGCCTGGAGACCCCAAAACACTGGGAGCTCCTCACAGGGGTTGGGAGAACCCCGGGAGAAATCCTAAGCTGCCAGAAACCTAGGAGGAAAGCGGAGTCCCTGCTTGGCAGACATTGACTTGCAGTACTTGGAGATGCCAAAGAATCACCGTGTCTTGCGAGCCAAACCAAGGACTTGGGTTCCTCGATCACATTCATTCGGCCGTGGTCTAAGCTTTGGGTTTTGCCGTTCGTTCAGCTGACAGTTGTATCATCTAACCCTTTTTACTGGGCTCTTGTTTGGTGCTTATGCATTTCTTTAAATCTGCACAGTCCCGCCTGACGAGTCAGAACGAGGCCATGGCCCTTCAGTCCATCAGGAACATCAGAGGCAATTCCCACTGCGTGGACTGCGAAGCACAGAGTAAGTACGGCCGCTTGGCTTCAGAAAATTGACCTCTTCTCCTTCTTGGCCAAGACTAGTGAGCGCCCACCATGGGCTTTGTCTTTTTCGGTATTGCGTTCCATATGTTCTTTGAACATTTCTTCTTTGTTATAGAGTTTGCTCAGTCAGACTTATTTTGTGTTACTTCATACTTAATATGTGCCATGTCAGATGCATCCTAATTTTTTTGCCTTGTTGGTTCACATGCCACTTTAAATGTCACCATTTCTTTACTTTCCTTGGAAGAAAAGGAAAAATAAGTTTGCTGTTTGACATCAGTTACTTCCATTTTTCTCCTGTTTTGTGTGGAGGGGGCGCGTGTGCCGTGGTAATATTTTCAAAGAGGTAGAGCTTGATTGGTGGCTTTTTAATTTGGTTTTTTTAGAGTTACTTGTCAGAAGAAACCAAAGTCATTGCTTGTTATATCTGGATACTAGAAAACTGATTTGGGACTTTTTTTTTTTCCCTCCCCTTTGTGTTTCTTACCTTTTTTTTTTATTTTTTAAAACATATACCTAGTGTTCAGAAAACTGTTCTCAAGAATACTTTGAGCTGTGGTTCACCTCACTAACCCCGGCTGAGGTCATTATTCTGGTGCTCTTTAGTTCCAGGGGTTTGCAACAAAGCCACAAAAAGGAAGTGCTCTCGCTCTAAAGCAATTAGTTGCAGAAGCAGAAGGATTGAGAACTTGTGCATTTTTATTTCTTTGATATTTGAAAGTCAGAACTTTTCCTGTGATTTTTACATGTGCTTAAAATGGAAAAATATTCATTTATTTTTCTTTGGGTGTAATTTTTTTCTTTAAAACTTGCTGTTCGGGATTTTAACTTCTGGTCTAAGCTGTTCTAACATCCCAGTTAACTTTAAAATGAACATTCATTTGCAAGTGCAAGTGCTTTTGCGTGACTAATTTGCTATTTGTATAGTTAGCAATTTAGCTGATTCAGTTATCCACCAAACGAACCCTGCCTCATCCTCAGAAGCTTTGAAGAGAAGGTGGTTAGGACATTAACAGCCATTTAAAACAAAAAAAAAAATTTCCATACCATCAAAACGTGCTTCACATATAGATCATTTTTAATTGCTCGTTTTGAAAATGGTCAGATATTTGTGTGCCATCCATAGGAGATGGATCAAGAACAAAGGCAGCTGCCCCGGTCCCGTGAGCCCGGGCTGGACTGGGCTTTGAGCACCAGTACCGGGATGCTCCCGAAACAGCTTGTTGACCTGCTGGAAAGCAATCCCAAAGAGAAATTTCACAGGGACTTTTCAAAGACAAGAGAAAAATAAGAGCTACATGGATAAATTAAGGTCTTCACATTCCACTGGCTAGTAATCCAGCAGGTGATAAACAAGGGAAAATGTTGGTTTGGCTGGTATTTTAACATGCACAGCCCAAAGCGACTCTTCTTTATTAGCGTTCTTTCATATTGACCTGGTAGTCATTCAGATTTACACCAAAGCTTTGATATAATTCAGGTAAAAGGCATAGAAGATGCTGTGCTGTATATGAGAAGGACGGGGTCTTCAGGTGACCTAGATGTATATTTAGCTCGTTTGAAGTACTCACTGCTGTCTGAGCAGACCGCAATGGGAGTGTTACCGATCGCTGCTCCCGTCTGTCTTACAGCTGCGGGTGGCATTTTCCCAGACCCCGCGGAATGGTCACGCAGGCAGAGTGGGATCGTGCCATCCCTTCGCTGCAGATAGCTTCCCACACCCACGCACGTCCTTTCCACGTGTCCGTGATCCGTTTCAGCTCTACCCGGAGCACACGCTATCCCCAAGGTCCATGTTTCTCTCCCCAGCCTTGCACGTACCCCAGTATTTATGCAGCCAAGCTAGATGTTTAATCAGGAAAATGATTGTGCAAGAAAGCAACACTTCCCCCCCCGCCCCCCCTTTCTCTCAGGCAGGTTGTTTTTCATCCCGATTGCTTCATGGGTCAAGCTGGCCACGCGTGCACGGTGCCAGCAGAAGGGATGTGCCAAGAACGCATTGCTGGGAGAGGGCAGGGTGGGACTGCCCTTTTTGGCAGCACTCAGCGCTTGGTTGTGTGGCTTTTTGGGGTCAGGGAGGCAGGGGTGATTTTGGAATCTCAGCTGGAACCCCTCTCAATTGTCTGTACTCTTGGAGATGATTTAAACCCTCTTTGACTCTTCTTGCCATTTGGCCTTCCTCATTTTTAAGGCCACCATCATTCCTTCAGAAAAATTTGAGATACTTCCAAAGCGACGTATCTCAAAATGTAAACACGCACATGAGGTGAACCTCAGCCCGTTGCTTTCTCTGCCAAGCTTTGCTTTATTTCCTTCTCTCCCTGTCTGCCTTGCCTGGGCAAGTCTTTAGCATCACAAACACCAGCGCTTATGTAGTTTGCATCTTCACAAAGCCAGATGTTTGGGAGCAAAGGAATATGAGATGATGTTGTCCCTCAGCTCTATTCAAGAGCCATCAATCTTCCACTTCAGAAGTCTCATTCTTCCTCTTTCTAGAGCTCTTTGCCTTTTTAGCACTTCATCACAGCACTTTGTTTCACCAGGGAATTTCTGCCTTGTTGTGGGTTAATCAGCAGCAGTAGCACCAGCAGCATCTGTGCGCCGCAGGCCTTCTGGCCCTTTGGCAGTCTCAGCCTAAAGTTTTTCAAAGTCCTTTTTTTAACGTTCCTATCCTAGAGCCATAGATGAGGCAAAGTGGTCATTAGGTGCGGGAGTTTTTACCCAAGAAGATCTTGCAGAAGGAAACTGATGTTGCATTTTCCCAGAGCGTGGGAGTCCCACTGATCAGACCCCTCACAAGTTCAATTTTATATTCAGAATAGGAGGAAGAAAAAAAACCAACCCTCTAAAGAATAGAAAATATGTAAATTTTTCTCTCTTTTGCTGCAACTCTTTGGGAGATGCCTTCGCCCCCCGCTTCTCCTTTTTTCCCTGGCTCCTCTGCGCAGCTCAGCGCTAACTTGCCCATGCTGAACTCCCCAGGATTTCGCATGGCAAAGCCTTTCATCAGCAACCTCATGTCCAAAGGGATGAAGGACATGGTGGGGAGGGGTTATTCTCCTAAAAGAGCCGTTCCAAGAGCTTTCACCTTCAAATGATCAATCCGATTGAGGCGCAAGTCGAAGCGGGGAAGAGGTTTTTTAGAGAAGGAGAGAACGAAACACCTTTAAGAATATGAAAATTGTAATCTGGGAATATTCAGTGATCTTTAAAAGCTCATATTTTGTTTGACATATTGTAAGTAAAACAAAAGGGTGGAAACTAGTTTTATAGCACCTATAACTGCATCGAATGGGCTTTTTCCTTCTTTTACCATCAAATTTGGATGTATGCATACTGCAGAAAAGCCTGACACCTGCTTGTAAGTATTCTGAGCAGCCTCCAATTCAGAATTACTCTTGGCATCATGACCAAAAGTGAGCTGATTTTTGATCATCTCAAAAAATTAAAAAAAAAAAAAAACCGGAAAAAAGGAGAAAACCACCTTGAGTAGTTATGGCTTACTAACCATGCGTGGTTCTTCTCGGTATAAATCAGTGGTAACAAATTTCAGGCGTGAGATTTAAAAAGTGTTCAACTACACATGGGAAGAGGAAGATGCAAAGAGGAGCCATTGGCAATGGGTTGCCTTCATTATCGGTGGGTAGTGACTTCTGTCATCTAGCATACCTCCTTTTGAGAACAATTTTTCACATGCATACACTGAAACAGATGTCATAAGTGACATCATGTCCATTTTTTCCCAGAATCCATTGAACGATGCCACTTGTCCAAGCTCCTCATTAGAGCCCTGTCTTGCTCCCCGTTACCCAAGATCAACCAGTCTGGTTTTTCACTGGATGTCTGTAACGAGTTCAACGTTCGCCTTTCCTAGTTGGCCACCTTCAAACTCAGCTGGGTGTTGTCAGATTATTGAAATCTAAAATGCAACCTTGACAATATTTCGTATGACTTCTTGGTCATAGCTTTGGTGGCCTACTTCAATCGTACCAGCACTGTCAATTGGAAGGAGGTGAATTTAAAAAAATTACTCAGTAAAAGATACATGAGATGTGCTTCAGGTACACAGAGGTATTTGGGAGGGAGGTCAGGTCCTTAACATCGGTTCTGTTAGAATAATTGGAAGAATATTAATCGGTGTTTTTTCTCTTGCTTCATTCTGAGTTCGTGCTTCTTTGAGCTCATTGCACTTTTATTTTTGTGAAGGTAACCCTGGCCTTTGCAGGTCAGGGACAGAGGTTTCATTCCAAGACGCAGTTTGCAAATTTTAAATGGTTATCATCTGCTCTATTTAAGCTTTTACTGACAAATTAGTATTTGGGGATTTTTAGTATATGTACCACTGGTTCCCCCACTGGCAAGACACCGAAAATAACTGGTGGAGGTGACCTGGAGGAACATGCAGGAAAGGAGTTTGTCATGGTTGTCTTACCAAGGACTTGGAGAGCACGCAAGGAGTTTTGTCTCACCTTATTTTTTTGGAGATCTGAAATGCCGTATATTTCTAGTATAAGATTTGGTATGGACAGGAACTTTTTAAACAGAAGATCTGTTTTTCTGCTCAAGTGAAGTAAGATGGGGGATTTGTCGTGTTGGGGGTGTTCTCAGGACTGAGTGAAAAATATTAGTCAATGCCTTCCATGAAATGTGGGACTTTGCAGTTAAAATTATCTGCTTTCCTTTCCTATTTTTCATCCAAACGTGACACGGCAAAGAACTAGGAAAGGTTTTGTTTCCACATACTTTAGCTGCCAAAAAATAACTTTTCAAATTGGAGTTACGTAAAGTAGAAATGAGTCTTTGGATGAAATTTCCCCAAATGGAAGGGGACACTGGAAATTAATTTTCTATCCGCTCTGTATTTTATTTAGATCTGAATAAAAACTGCCTGCCCTCTCAATTAATCACCATTTTCCTGCTTGGCATTCGTGATAGCCTACTGGTTCTTTGGGAGGCCCAGGGTAAGGCGAGAAGAAAAGATCTGACAGCAGGGGGGGGAGAAAAGCCACCAAAAATTCCTCCTGTACGTCTTTCATTGCATTTGTTAAAATGAGTGTTTGTTGGAGAGAGGGAGATTCATATAAATCTAGATTTAAATAACACAGGACAGTGATAAAAAAAGTGAACCATCTTGGGAGATGACTTTGAATTTCCCAGCTTTTGGGAAATGACTTTGAATTTCCCGGCTTTTGTCAGGTTTGTCACAGCCTTATCGTTTGCGGGGTTATTTTTGTGTGTGTGTGTGCGCGTGTGTCGGTGGAATCCTTCTGGCTCGTACACTAAAACTGGAACTGTTCAAAGGATCACATTTTCATCTTAGTACTTATCTCCCTGATCTTAGAGATGAAAACATACCCCATAGTGTGTCAGATGTAAAAGCCATATGTAGGTGATGATATAGATGGTTATTAAGGGAGTTGATATAGTTAGCAACAGAGACATTGTATCTAGTCGCTCTTTTTTTTTTTTTTCCCCTCCTTTTTCCCTTGTAATTGGCTACGAGTGGCTCTAGATTCCCAAGGAGGGGCTTTCTCCACTACTTCATCATCAGCTGCCTGCTACTGCGTTTGTTTTCTTTGTTTCTTCTTCTGTCTCTAATTCATGTTTTTCTTTTGACTGAAGGTGGAATGACACCATACACATACACACGTTTGGTTTTTTTACTCCTTGAGGGTTTCTCAGAAGGGTTCGTATCTCCACAGGGCAAAATTGGCCCTTCTGGAAGACCTTCCAGCTGTGCTTTTGAACAGGACACCTGCATTTTTTTTCCCTCAGAGCCAAAATCTTTATCCACAAACCTTAACTGGAAAGTTTTGTTAGGTGTTTCGTTGCCTAATTGGTTGTGTCCCTTTTCCTGTAGACCCCGACTGGGCCAGTTTGAATTTGGGAGCCCTCATGTGTATCGAATGCTCAGGTATACACCGAAACCTTGGCACGCACCTCTCCCGGGTCCGCTCTCTCGACCTGGATGACTGGCCTATAGAGCTCATCAAGGTGATGTCTTCGATCGGGAACGAGCTGGCAAACAGCGTCTGGGAGGAGAGCAGCCAAGGCCATATGAAACCTTCGTCAGACTCCACAAGGTAGGCTTTCCTACTCCATCTCAGCATGGCACGCAGCTGGCAGGTAGCGTGTGATAGAGCACATGGCCAAGGCTATGAGCACATAAATCCTCATTTTGGCATTGCAGTCGGAGGTGGTAGGGCGTTACAACTTTTTACAACATGGACTTCTAAGATTCTCCCTTGGAGTAAGCCTTGTAAAAATCATTACGTGTATATATATATCTTCACTGGCGGGGGGTCTCAAAATTTGAGTGACCCCGTCACTTTTTCACTCTTGTGAAGGTTTCCTCGGCAGCTCTACAATTTTTTGTTCAATTGACTGACCGACAGAATGGAAGACTGAAAGACTGAAGCTTCCCGCCTGGTTGTTCCTCAATCTAAATTATACTGTAATGCGTTTCTTTGTTTTGGTTGGCCACAAAGTTCCTGGCTCTTGGACCATCAGTTTGTGATTAATAATCTGCGTTCAGTAGTTCAGGCTCACCCATGAATTTGTACCTGACCGTCAGGTCTTTGGTTTCTCATCACAGATGTTGGAAGTCCTGCTCACTGTGGACTTGCTTACTTTTTTTATGTGATATATGTGAAGTCGTAAGTTGGGGGGGGGGCGGTTTCCAGTGAGAACAGTATTTTACCTACCCGTCATAGCTCAACACAGTGAAAATCTTCTTTCTGCAATATCTACCAAAAGCTAAAGGTTTTTTATGCTAAATTTATCTGATCAGTGCCAAAGGAAGATATTTTGAAAATACTTTCCTGATTTCAATAGATTGGAGATGGAAGCGTTACTAGTTCCAGCTAAGGTGTTGGCTTGGGGGAAGCAGAGTGTCCTCGGGCAGAGTGCGTTTCAGGAGGGGGGTGCAGGCAGGAGGAGAACCTTCTGGGCTACCTTGCACAGCTGGGCCAACCTTTGAAGTTGTCTTCAGAAGTGCGTTATGATTGTCTTAGGTTGAGCTCCGGGGGGGGACAGCCTGCATCCGAGCACCAGCCGGTCCCCAGGTAGCAAACGATACAGTGGAGGTCTAGCTCTCAGTATTTGCTTCCTGCGTATGAGAGAAATTGGGTGGAATTATATTGTGATTTTGTTGATGTATATCTCTGGATCCTGCTTTTTCCAATATCGGATCGAGTGAAATTGTAACCCGGGAGGATATACCTGGGCCACCTCCTACGGTGTAGGAGTAGGTTTGCACTGTTGTCTGTAATAAAGTCAACTGTTTCTCATTGCATTATTTCGTTAGCACTGAAAAATGAATTTGTGGTGCCACCTTTGGTTCATCTTCGAGAATGAAGCCACTACATTAATCAGGCTACTTAGATGAATGACTATGCATATAAAAATGTTCAGGGAGACCTACACAGAGATTTTGTTCATACGTGAACCATATGCCTGCTGTGTACGTGTATGTTATTAGACAGCTAATATAATGATTTGATCAGGTAGATTGAAATCAACTTATTGGTGCCTTTCAGTCATTAGTTTTACTTTAATCCAGAGATCTTGCGTTGTTGTACCTAACAAATATATGTTGGTCCTTACTACTGAGGTGAGCTGGAGAGATACCTCAGGTCTAAATACTTTTAAAAGGAAAAGGCATGCACTCGATTGGATTTTTATTATTTAAAAAAACCCCACACATAATTTTAATATACGTATAATAAAGATATTATCATGAAAAATCTAAAATAATGTGACTGATTAAAAGAGAGCCATCTATTTGAATTAAATTATTCAGATTTTTATGTTTGGAAGTGAGTTTTACTTATAGAAAATGAACTTTGTTCTCTATTTCATGCTCAGAGCTTATTTTAATTCTTTGTTTCTGTACGTCTCCGAGTTATGTTTGTCAGTGACATAATTGCACTTTTTTTCCTGGACTCTAACATTTTTGAACAAAAGGTATAAAGGTGCGTTTTATAAATACGCATTTCCATCTGTGTGTCCAAGTGCACACTTACGTGATGGAAGAGCTGTTAGAAAAAATAGAATTAAGATAATGTGAAACTTTTCCCACAAAGCAATTGTAATCTTGCTTTGCTACTCCCATTCCTTCCGCTGTTTGCAGCGGGGACTGAAGTGATATTTTTCACATAAATATCTGAAAGGTCTGCTTCTTCAAAGGACGTACCTCCTTTTGTACTTAACTTTGGTCTCTACTAGCGTCATACTCCTACTGTCCAAGCTGTGGCAAGAAAAGAAGTTCAAGTTCTTTAGATACAAGTTCTGCATTCCATTTTCTCGCTGCCGTTAGCGTTTTTGCGTGAGGAATCCTATCGGAAGCAGCTACAATGGGCCTGAAGTGGGGTTAAACAAACGCTCCTTTTTTTGTTGGTGAGGGACTGGGGGAAGAGGCAAGAAAGTAAGCGGACAGAGAGATGACTGGGGAGCTGAGATTTGGAGTTCTGGTGGAGGAGGGAGTCCAACGATATTTGGAGATCCGCGAAGAAAGAAGCGTTCAGCGAGACGACTTCTGAAGAGGAAGAGATCTGATAGCTGGTGTTGGGGGGCTGTTCCTTCCCGTGCTGGTGGGCTCTGGGATCAGCCGGAGTCTGAGAGCTGCTGTGTGAGGAGGCTCACACGCTCAGCATGCTCCTGCTCTAAGGACTTCTCACCAAAGCCTCGTCAGATGGGAGAGGATAGTATTCCCATGTTTTCCTCCAAGTTTCTCCTGAACTTGTTCATATCCCCGTTCCCTTCTGCAGCCCCACTTACTTCATTCGTCCTGCATAGCGCTCCCATTTTCAGTTCCGCTAGAGATACTCATTAGTCCACCCTCCCTGGCTTTCCGCGTGTTTGCTCAGACCTTCAGGCTGTGCCTGCAAAGTGTTGGAAACACAAGAACAGAAGATTATTTTTTTTAACTGTTCCCCCAGCTGATTCAAAGGCTTAGCACAAAGCATCAGTTAAAAGACCGTAGACAAATACAATCTTCTCACGTGTTTATGATAGGCATGTCTCTTAACTCTTGTGTCTCCTCTGTGCCCACCCCAAAGCACCAAAAGTTGTCAGCACAATGATGGACCCTCTGTTAATAAACATTTGTAGAGGAGATCAGACATACATGAGTTTCACCGTTTCGTGTTGTGTCTTCCTGTTGGAAATGAAGCCATCAGTGAAACCATCAGTGGCTTTCTAGGGGAAAAAAAAAAAAAAAAAAAAAGATTGTTGACACTGAATCTGTTGGGCCGGGAGGCTTGAGGAGCATTCGCATGCTGGACTTAAAGGAACCTGGAAGTCTCCACATGACTTCAGAAGCAGTCCCATCAGCTCGGGAGAAGCTGGCACTCATTGCAGTGGCATCCTCCGTGTTTCTGTTGAGTAGAGGGAAGGGTGAAGAGATCCAGGGAGACCGATGTTTTGCAGGAGGCATCGGTTGCCAAGTGGCTACTCCAGGTCACGGCATAATTAAGGAGTCTTACTCAGGAAAATGTCACCAATATTTATAAGATTAGAGCTAATCCTAATTAGGCTGTGAGTACAGCTTGTGTTTTTAATTTTGTACACTCAAAAATAAGTTAAATATTATCCAACTTAAAGCACATCAAATGTACCATAGCGTACCGCTGTCCTTTCCTACTCCACTCAAATTCACTTAAAACTCTTTCTCCAAGAAAGTCATGGGGAAAGATAAACCTAAACACGTATTTTGAAGGTCAGAAAGGCTTTCATATTGGAGGGTGTGAACTCAGAGCCTGAGAATTTTGTAGCAAGAGGCTTTACTCCTGTTGGTTTCATCAAGGATATTGCCCAGGTATGTCCTCTAATGTCAACATGTGCCAGGTCTCATCAAGTCTTACAGAACAAGCAGATCTCTAGGTCGTTTGGTGCCTCTGGATCAAAAGCAGGACCTGGGATGGCCTCTAGCGTTAAACTGGAAGGTTGTGGGAGCGCAGGTGTGGTGGGATCCCCAAGGAAGCGGCGTGGAGTAAAGCAGTAGCATCAGGCAAAGTTCAGACTGAGGGCGTTGGCGTCATCACGGGGAGGAAAGAGGAATAAACACGAGCTCCCGGCGAGCACAAAAAGTTGGCGAAGCGGCAGAAAACCCAAGCGCGGGCGAATAACGTGCATGTGGAAGGGAAAGGGGACCAGCTGGCCTGTGAGCGGTGGTGTCCGTGGGTCCCTGATTAGGTCAGCTTTGGAAGGCTGGTAATTGGTTCCAGCAATTACCAGCAGCCCTGAGAACCGCCGCTCAAACTTCGGGAGCGCTGTGACAAATTGAAGCTGACTGCTGGTGAAGGAGTATCGACTTCCCATTTCTAAACAGGGGGATCATTAGTCAAGAAAAGCATCTTTTAATTACTCACAGGAAGAAAAAAAAAGGGGGGGGGGGAAGATCTTTCAGTATGGATCCTGCAACAACTGCCAGGTTTTTTTCCAAGTGTATTCAATATTAAATTTATTGTCTTGGAGGGGAGGGGGTGAGCGGGGAGAGTTTGCCTGCGGTCCCTTCTTCGGTAATGCGGGTTTAATTTGGAGTGAGAAGTCAAATTAGAGTAAATCAATGTTGCGACAATTAACTGGGTCTGGGGATGAGATCAGGATTTTCCCCTCTAATTGCTATTGATACTACTTAAGCACACTCTTAAAACATTGATTTGGAGTGGTGCGACACAGGAGTGAGCCCAGTGGGGCAGGGACAGAACTGCTCCGTGGAGGAATGTCGGGGATGTGGTGGAGCTGGCTTGGGGAGTCTGCGCCGTGTTTCACCTGAGCCTTTTGCACTGGTATGTAGATCTCCTGCCAGATATTTAGCTTTCTTCTGGACGCACCTCACGTGCTTTGCTTTTTCCATGTACTCTTCTTGACGGTGTGGCTTCTGGTTTGCAGACTTGCTTGCCACCATCGACTTCCTAAGATGTTGTTGGCCTTTGCCAAATGAGATGAGCTGCCACCATCCCTCTGCGTGCTCCAGGAGGTGATTATCTGCTCCCTGGCCCTCACCCTCTTTCTCCGAGCTCCCGAGCTCTCCATCTCCGTCTTACTGGGAGCACTGGGCTGTGCCAGCAACGAGGCCACC